AGGTGACAGGGCTTCGTAATGGGCCGGCCCAGGCACACTCATGTCACATCACACATCACTGTTCTCTTGAAAGAAACACCACACCTATGTTGATCTGTCAATTTTGCACCAGTTCTGGGAAAATCCAATTAAAGACAGCCCCGCGCTCGAGTAGTACATGGTCGTCCTTCCTTGTGCAAGTAGTACAGCCCCCAAGCTAGAGACTGTCCCACTCTCGCGACTCCACAGCGAGCGAGGAGCGAGCTACAGCTGAAAGTTCTAGTTCTAACGCCCGCCCAGTTGGACCGCCCACTTGCTAGATGCCCTCTGACGGAGGGCCGCTCAGTTGTTCTTTGTTGGGGCGGCGGGCATTAATCGGAATTGCATGCCCTTTTTGCTGACCGCGCTCGTGCCAATGAATGATTCTGCTCTCCTTCATTACATTTTATTCATTAGGAGCACATACAGTCAACTCCAACCCATCTTGCAAGGTAAAACGCGTAAAAATCACGAGCGACCCAATTTTCGTGGTGCAAAAGCTCGACGCACCACACTACACTAAAAGATGCACGCTACCGTAACCCTAAATTCAGACGCCGAGTTTTTGAAAGTTTCTTTTCCTTTTCAAAAGTTTTTCTTTCGTGTTTCTGTTGTTTTTCGTATTCTTTTCATTGCATTGGATGATACCACTACTGGGAGATGTGATAAAGGAAATTGTGAGCTAGGGGTTGCACAGAGACCGCAGGAAGGTGTGACTGCCAGGGAGCGATTTTGTTTATAGTGTTCTTGAGGACTCTTCTTGCTTTTTTCTTTGGGGAATTACTTATCAGCTACTGTTTCATAATTGAAAAGCAACTATCCATGACACTTTTATCGCGGGAGCTGTCTTTAAATTCGCTCATACAAAAAGAAGATTAGTAAAATGCAATGTAAGCAGTTTCAAAAAATGTATCAGTTTGAGAGTTCTCATTCAATTCCTATAATTCAACTCTTTCACTTGTTGTATTCGAGACATTTTAAAACAGAAAGGACTTTCCGGACAACCCAATACAAACCATCGGTATGTGAAATGCAGATACTGCGACAAATTGTTTTTCATGAGCAAAATGTTTTTCAAGCTTATATTATGCAGTTGATTTTTGGTCGAAACTAACTTTCTCACTTCAGGACTCAACGGCCTCCCTGGAGTACCCGGACCGAAAGGAGAAACAGGTCATCCTGGTCTGCCCGGAATGCCTGGTCAAAAAGGAGAACAGGGAGCATCTGTGAGCGGACCACCTGGGCCACCAGGCTTTCCTGGTCTCAAAGGAGATGCTGGATTACCTGGTTCACCAGGACTTGCTGGACTAGATGGGCAGCGAGGACTGCCTGGCGCCCCTGGGCTCAAAGGAGACGCAGGATTGACAGGACAAAATGGTCAACTCGGATACCCCGGTGCCAAGGGAGAGCCTGGAATTCCTGGAATCCCAGGTTTGTTTCTGTTTATTGCCCTTAATTCTCGAAAAATTTGCGCTGGTACGAGGCAGTAAGCTAAACGAATTGCGACTGACTTTTCTTACAATAGGAGGTAGTTGGCACTGACTTTTGGGTGAGTGGCGAGGGCAACCCTTTCGAGGGATTTCTGTCAAGGTAGCCATCTCATCAATGGAATTTGTGGAGACTTTTGCCCAATTGTTTGCGAACCGTGCGTTATTATTCTAATACTGTCTCTTTCGCTTTTTTTGCCCATCTTGCCGCATAGAACAAGTTCAACGATTGTGTAATAACATTGCTCTTCTGTGACATAGCTGGCAAAGTAGACGAATTCATCTTACGAAATTCCTTGTAAATGACAGATTATTTCATAGCTTCGAATATCACTCCAAAGAACTTGATAGTACTTTGCTGTGCAGTGACTTCGATGCCACCTATCCTTTTAACAATGCAATCAGTCGGAGAGGTGTGGTAAGAGCAGGTTGAGCCCGCCTCCGGCTACCTTGTTCTACTAATGGTGATCGATTGGTGGTGGTCTATCTAGGAAGAGAACAACCAGTGGTGGGAGCGCCGTGGGTGAATCAGTCCATCATTCTTGAACTGCGACGATCACGATGTTACTGGCCCTACCGTATCGATCACGCGCTCATGACGGGTACGGGTGAAACGTGCCTGTTTTTGCAAGGTTGTCACCTCAAGCTGCATTTATACTTTGCGTTAGCGCATGGTGCCGTTTCAAGGGTACGCCAGCGCAAGCGACGAGAATTCTATAGGTGTCGCAGTTCAGAGAGAGACCGCCCTACTAGTCCTCTCCCACGACGAGCATCGGTGAATCGAGGGTCCGCTTACACACCATCAGCCCACCTCAGTCTCACAGTTCCCCGGGGACCATATCGCTTTCCCGCACGATATAGTCTCGGTTCCCCGAGGGACCACCCGGGCCTAAGCCCGTGACAGGCTGCAGGGGACGGCAGCCCATGACCAGGCATGTCCCCGTGGGGGGTCCGACCTCCCTCATGTCCGTCCTGGACCCCCAGGTCGGCCGGCCCTCCCACTGTCGCAGCCTGCCGTAACCGGTCTGACAGCATGCCTGTTAACCCCCTACGGCATGCAATAACCAACCACACAAAATACCAATAGAAATATGACCAATAATAAATATACCTTTACCCAACCTGTACCTTCCCTGCCTTACCAGCACCTTACGGGCCCACCTGCCCGGTCGCTCCCAACTCCCACCTATTGCAACATAACAAAACATATAAACACCATATTTATTAACTCACGTGTTTGCGGTAACCATCTTCCAACTGTCCTTACATCCTGCCGTAGCTGGACTGACCATCCATCTGCCATCTGTCCTAGCGGTAATCCTAGCGGTAAAGGGCGCTCTGCGGCTACAAGCTGCAACCCGCAGCCGGCCGTGCCTTCGGGTCATAGCAGGCACGGGCCTGAGCCAGAGCTCCGCCAGACGGAGCAGTGTGCCCGACCACACTGCTGTACAGAGTGCAAGCACCCTGCAGAACCGTCCGGCATCATGGCGGCAGAGCGGGTGCCCGGTGGATCTCTCCTCCCGGAGGGAGAGAAGCACACCGACTGGCTCGCAGCAGCCCTTATAAGGGCTCCACTGGGGGCGGGGCGGCGGCGCGGCCTTCGGCGGTCGCGTCGCGGCTTTGCCCGTGTAGCGCGCCAGAGCCCAGGCGCACGGGACCCCGGCCACGTTGTCGCGAACCGCGACAATAGGTATCGATTTAAAGTATGCCAGCGTACGCAGGGCACGCCATCGCAAAGCGTGCCATTTAATTCCACGCATACGATCGGAAGCCTTTTCAGCTCTAGAAAAGCTAGATGTTCGCTTTTGCCTAGTGGCTTTGCTTCTCACGATATCTTTCCAGTACAAGACTGTGGCATGTGCTCAGTGCTGCTACAGCCTGCCACGAAGCCACGCTGGTCTAGAAAGCCTTACTATTTCAAGAATGTGACCGTAAACAATTCGCTCAAGGATTTTCATGCTGCGTGATCCTAGGCGAAATGGACGGTAGTCTGAGCAGTCCTCAGAACTGACCTTCTTCTTTCCTACCGGAATCGTCGTACTTTACCAGTCCTTAGGCGTCTCCTTCTAAGCACCTGGCTGAATAGCTTTGACAGCCATTCCGCAGAGTACCAGCACTGTGATTTCCACAGGTCAGGTGCCATATCGTTAGGGCCTTTTGTGTGCCTGACTTCGTCTTTTTGAAATCCGCCTCCTTCACTTCTACGGTCATCTCCTAGATGGGATCCTATACCGAGGGAGCGACAGGGATGGTGGGCATGTTTTACGATTGATATATTCTCAATGAAGTCGTGCCATCGCCTCAGCACCTCTCTTTCGGTCCATCAAAAGACGGCCATGCTCGTCGTTGACGCCAGGGAATTTCTCGATATCTTCGGTCTGACGATGCCGAGCCTTGGCAAGTCGGTAGAGGTGCCGCTCTCCATCGCGTGAATCTAGTTCCTTACTGACATCTTTGAAGTGGGCGGCCTTCGCTGCAGCCACAGCCTTCTTTGCTGCATTCTTCGCTTCTTTGTACTTCCGCCAGTTATTAGCTGGCAGTCAAGAAGCACATGATAGCGCCTCTTCTGTTCTCGAACCATGCTTACCAGTTATACGCTTTCTAGGATTCGTAATCCCAAGTTCGAAACGAGCGGTCTCATGTATCATTTTGAAAGCACCTTTCCAGGTTCATGGCGGTCGGTAATCGGTTACCCACAGTTGCCTCCGTTTTGAAACGCCACCGCTTGATTCTCTCGGGACCAAACCGCTCTACCTGTAGTGCTAGGCCTTGTGATCTTCAACTTGTAGATGAGTGGGCGATGTTGCGAGGCAACTGTCGACGATCCTTTCGACGTTCGGTCGCCACGTTAACCGAGTGACGAAGTCGATCTGCGTTCTGATATTCCGTTTGTAGAGGCTGATGAGGGGAGAGTCACATTCACGAAACTTTGTATTCACGATGACTAGGTTATGGGCTTCCGCATACTCGAGGATTCGCTCGCCATCGGCGTTACGTGACCATAACCGAAACCACCATAACAACTGTTGCCGTCTTTCGCATTTGGGTCACCGCGACATTGACGGGATGTCTTCAGAGGAACAGAATTTGTTTTGGATTCGATCAGCGCATCCCGTTTGCGGAAGATATGCAGAAAAGAAGTGGTACAGTCGCTGCTCGACAGCAACTAACAATCTTCATTAAGCGGTCATTGAAACGTTCTACGCTTGCTGTCTAGTCACGGAGATGTCGAGAGATAAGTACACCCACTCTGTTAATGTCCTACACAGAAAGGCTTTGAAGACTCATCCGGTGTCCCTTAATTTGCAGCTGGACCATGTAGTTTCCTTTGAAGCGCACTTCACCCCCGCTCGCGCTCCTACATACAGGGGCTTAAATTCTGTTACACACACGAGTGTTCCTGATATTTTGGCAAAGTTGAGCCTTTATGATCATGGTCGCTTGCACTTTCGCCGTTCGTTCTTCAATTTGCGGACGGTTGATACTAACGTCTGATTGTCAGTTTGGGAGTCTACTGTACATGCACCAAATCACCTTCGACTATTACGTACTATTTCAGGAAAAGAAGGTCCACCGGGAGTGCCTGGAGTGGATGGCTTGCCTGGTGCACCTGGCCGGAAAGGAGAAGATGGTTTCCCAGGACAGCCCGGAGTTGAAGGTCAAAAAGGAGAGGCTGGATTGCCTGGAGCATCTGGACAGCCGGGAACACCGGGGCCACATGGGTTCCCTGGACAAAAAGGAATGAATGGAATCCCTGGCGTACCAGGAAACAAAGGTCAGTACATGTAAATGAAGCAGTGTGCTATAATACTGCCAAACGCTTGTTAACAAAGACGGTTGAATTCTAGGTGACGCCGGACTGCCTGGCTTACCTGGTCAACACGGAGCAAAGGGCAATGCTGGTCTCCCCGGTGTACCCGGGTCACCTGGTATGAAAGGTAACGCCGGAGTGCCTGGAGCTCCTGGACAAAATGGACATCCCGGTTCGCCTGGTATGAAGGGCGATCGCGGTTTCAACGGGATCCCTGGGGAAAAGGGTGAACCTGGACCTGCAGCACGCAATGGACCAAAAGGAGATCAAGGACTGCCTGGACAACCAGGAATCAGAGGGCCTCAAGGTCCACCTGGGCTCCCTGGTCTCTTAGGAATGAAGGGAGATTCAGGGCTGCCAGGATATGGGCAACCTGGACTAATTGGTGAGAAGGGATTAGCTGGAGTGCCGGGGAAAATGGGACGACCCGGAACACCGGGACCACCAGGACAAGACGGTCTACCAGGATTCCCCGGTCTCAAAGGCGAACCGGTAAGTTTGCAAGCTGTTTCCAATAGAAGGACTTCTTTTTTTTTCTTTACATTGCTATGTTACTAATCAGTTGATGACTATTATTTCAAGGGATATCCCGGTCGACCCGGAGCCACTGGCAAAGACGGAATGCCCGGTCTCCCAGGTCTCAAAGGAGATATTGGCGCTTCTGGAGCGCCTGGACTGCCAGGATCACCGGGACAGCCCGGAGGAGCGGGGATACCTGGCATAAGAGGTGATAAGGGGCAATCTGGTTTGCCCGGACTTCCAGGTGATCGTGGACTCGATGGCGTTCCTGGCTTCAAAGGAGATAGCGGTTATCCCGGTCAACCTGGACCTCGTGGAGCACCCGGCCCGAAGGGTAACGCTGGCGCACCAGGCTTCCCAGGTCTGAAAGGAAATGCAGGACTTCCTGGCCACGACGGCCTTCCTGGGATGCCCGGAATCAAAGGTGAAGCGGGGCTTCAGGGACAGCCAGGCCGCGATGGAGTAGACGGAATACCAGGAGAAAGAGGACTTGTTGGATCACCTGGTTTACAAGGACTGCCTGGTGAGTGAGTTACGACCCTTGGATGAACATAGCTAGTTTTCTTATGGATTTTATGAGAAAGTTTCGTATCATTACATTTTTACTTTCTAGGACAAGCATTCGATGGACCTCAAGGACCCCCAGGAATCTCAGGTTTCCCAGGAAAAGACGGCCTTCCTGGCTTACCAGGACTCAAGGGCGACTCTGGCCAGCCTGGTTATTCTGGTGCACCAGGTCTTAAGGGAGAAGGCGGTCTTCCAGGCTTCCCAGGACAAAAAGGAGAAGCAGGAAAACCAGGAATCCCAGGAAAACGAGGCGGAGACGGCTACCCCGGAGCGCCAGGGAAAGACGGTCTGCCTGGTCTTCCTGGTGTTAAGGGAGAAACGGGCTTGCTGGGCCCTCAGGGACCACCCGGCATTCCTGGTCTACCTGGCACCAAAGGTTTTTCGTTTTTCTTCTTCTTTTATTCGAACATATTTTACCTTTTGTTCATGATGCGTGCCCTACTTTCTGGTGTATAAATCGCAGCACTAAGAATAGCCGCTTCCACGCATGGACGCGCGCAAATACAGTTGGGATCACAATCGGACTTATATTCTGCTAGCGTGAAAGCTGCACACAGACCGACCAAAAATTAGAGCCAAAGGAAAAATGCATGTTCGTTCTTGCAAAAAAATCGCAGCGTTGAAAGCAAGAATGCAGCTTGTACACACACAGTAGCGACTTATACCCCATAAAATAGGGTATGAATGGAAATGTGATAAACAGGCGTGTTGCGAGCTATTTATTTTTAGGTGACGTTGGCCTTCCTGGATTTCCTGGTCAGAAAGGAGAAAGCGGTTTACCTGGTCTCCCCGGTCAACCTGGCCTTCCTGGAATCAAAGGAGATTCTGGCTTTCCTGGAGAACCAGGTCGTGAAGGGCAACCGGGTATGGACGGTCCACAAGGGCCGCCCGGACTACCGGGACCAAGTAGTAGAACTGTTCCCGGACAAAAAGGAGAGCCTGGTCTTCCTGGAGTTCCAGGGATACGTGGGGAGAAAGGTTTCCCCGGTCTTGACGGCCCTCCTGGAGTCGACGGGCCACCTGGGATCACTGGGTCGCGTGGGAGTGATGGTTTCCCTGGTCAGCCTGGCTTACCAGGTGAGAAAGGCGCTGCAGGGACTCCAGGGCTCCCGGGCCTTGACGGTGCTCCTGGAGGACCTGGCGCGCCTGGATATCCTGGTGCACCCGGGCCAGCTGGTCCTTCATACAGAGATGGTTTCCTACTTGTGAAACACTCGCAAACTACGGACATTCCTCGCTGTCCTGAAGGTCATACTAAATTGTGGGACGGCTACTCGTTGTTGTACATCGAAGGAAATGAGAAATCCCATAACCAAGACCTTGGTGAGTGGATTTTCTTTCTATACTGTCGAATATTCAGAGAATTTCGAAAAAAGCACTCGCATTTTTTGCTCCTTGACACCGCAGGCATGTTGATTGGCAGTCTGAGCATGAAAAAATAATAATGAAATTGTGACGATGTTTTCTTGTGCACTATAAGGCTGTTATGATGAACCGTATATTTTCCGACACCTAGTCGGCCAGGAGCACCAAAATTTTGTGATGATTCTTACTGTTGTGGCAACTGGCCAAAAACGATAACGGCCTAGGGCGATTACACAGCGACTAGGGAATCTGCTCAATCTATTCGTGGTCCTTGACACTCAGTCGGCAACAAACGGCTCCACCATAAGAATACTGGGAGGTGTAAGAAAACACAGTCACAGTCTTTATGCCAAGATATCAAGAAGACCGAACTAGGAGGCAATACGTTCATTGCGGTGAGGCCTTGAGCTACCACAGAAAACAGCGAGCACTTCGGCTAGAAAAAGCTGCACTGGGTCCTCTTCACCGTGTGCCCGTCGCGTTCACTTGCTAGGTCGTGAGTGCTTGTGGTTTTCGAATCCAAATCTCAAATGCGTATATCTCAGGACGAAATATGAGCCGAAGTAAAATTTTATTGGTCGGAATTGCAATAGCTAACAATAACACTACTTTCAAAATAATTCTATCAGCGAGAAATAGGTCTGTTCATTCTGCTTACATAGAAGTGCGGACATCTAGGAGCGATGAAATCAGTTGATGAAGCTGCAGCTCACAATGCTTTTCTAAGCGTTCATCGCTGAAGATACTGTCGAGATGCTTGAAAAGCAATTTGTTTGGGCCAGATCTTCTGAATATGGTGGGTGGATGCGGTAGAATTCATAGGCCCCTTCCTGTTTATCAGTGGCGGGCTCATGAGTTAATGTTTGCCATCTGATGTTAAACAGTTCAACAGGAAGGTGCATTTCGTCAAATTCCTGACAGTTCTTCGAAGCTGTGATAGTTTCATCCAGGTCCATGAATGCGGTAGATTACGCCGGCTGCAGACCGTCAGACCACCGCCATAACCTCCTTTTCGTGCTGCTTCGGCTTGAAGAAATGTTGAGCGGCTTGATTCCTGTCCAACTACTGACTACATGGTCTCAGGATACTTGTCAACCGCAATACCTCCCTCCTTTCCCTTTTTTCTTATTCTTTCCTTTTTTTTCTCCCTTCCCTCTCCTTTCTACCTCTTCGTCCTCCCTACTGCTAACTGCTGGGTTAGCAGATGTGATGAAAAAGCACCTCTGGTCCCTCGCAGCAAGAGCATGTCCGGTTGACAGAAGCCCTATAACCCAGACCACATCGCTGCCTGTTATGGGTCCTTTCTGTGGCGTAGGAGGGCGGAGGAAATCTCACGGAATCCTTCTGATCCCGACACACTTCGTGCGGCACCCACTTATTAAGCTTCTTCGAAATCTGGAGGCAATGCTTCTTAAAGCTTTACAAGCACTCTTTGCACTGCTGGCAGGGTTTGTTATCAGCATCCGATGTTCCCCACCACGCTCATTATCTCTGAAGCAATCATGAAATGAATAAAGTCGAACAACTCAGGTGACACCTGAGGGAAAGAAAAAAAAGGAAAAGTAAAAATAACTATTAAGAATTGAACAAAAATTTGGCCCGATATAAGGAAAATAGACAACAGATACTACAAAGAGAGAGAATAAAAAAGAATTTTCTTCAAAGGAGTATCTTCAGATTGTATGAGTTAGGAATGTTTTTAGGTGAAATTAGCTCTCTAGGTGATGATAATCAATCTTTGGTCAGGTCATGCTGGTTCGTGTCTGCAACGCTTTTCTACCATGCCGTTTTTGTTCTGCGATTTCAATAATGTATGCAACTACGCATCACGAAACGACAAGTCGTACTGGCTTTCAACCACCGCACCGATTCCTATGATGCCCGTTAGTGAAGGAGAAATCGAGCGCTACATTTCACGGTTCGTTTTGAATAAGATAAGAACCTTCCTGTGTCGTTGAGGGAGCGCTTATTTCAAGGTGTTCTGTCTGTGAGGCGCCAGCGAATGTGATCTCTGTTCACTCTCAAACAATCCAAATTCCTAATTGTCCCACCGGCTGGAATAGTCTTTGGATTGGATACTCATTCGCAATGCATACGGGAGCGGGAGCCGAAGGAGGAGGACAATCACTCAGGTTAGTCAAACACTAACGATATTCTCCAGCTTCTCTCTTGTTGTAACCTCGGCATCGATGTTTACTCTAAGTAGTGCTGTGCTTCTCGAGGTTTTTAGGTGGAAATTTTCACCTGAAACCTTGAGAAGCACAGCAGGGTAAGCAAACCAATGATATTAGTTACTGAGTGAAGCACATTATAGTAATTACCCTTGCACAGTGGTTCTGTAGGTATTGATATCGTAATACACCACAGATGAGACACCAAGATATTGCACGGGTTTATATACAACCTCAAACTTGGGTAATTAAACGAAGTAAAATAAATGTCCCTTAAATCATAGTAGAAAGGCAATAAGTGCATGGTACTGAAATAACTGAGTTAGAAGAAAAGTGAAATCTAGGTCACTCAAAAATGAAATGATGCAGTAAACAAAAGCTTAGAATTAAGCAACTAATTGAATTAAATCTTCCAAGCAATGATAATGGTGCCTTAATCGACCGTAACGCATAGATGATAAACGGCGTTAAAAGTGACATTGAAGAGTGAATGACTAATCACAAGGCTTTTATATGAACCTCCTCGTGCGCCGCAGCTGTAGATTCCATCCTCGTACTTTTCCGCACAAAGAAGTGCCATCTGCAGCCACGCGCCGAGTCTTGCCCTGTGAAGTGCTGAACGCTAAGCTGAAATGAAGCTAGATAAAAACACAAAGATTACAGTGCCTCAGTAATTAGTAAAAGACGTGAAAATCGCGGTTATCCGCGATACACATCATCGGTGAGGAATCGCCTTCGAGGGTAAGGACTGTTATACGGGGAGGGGGGGAGGGGATACGTAAGCGTCGGGGCAGTCAACATAGAACAGGGCAGTTGTCCCCCTCATAAACGAAAGAGGTGGACTAGGGGTCAGGCACAGAGAGCTCTATGCATGAAGATTTGGGAAGTCGTACAATGTAAGGCAACATCGGAGAATTACATCAAATCGCATAAGAAAGCATTACATAAAGGTTCTTCCCAAAACTTTTGCGTGGAAATAGATGTAAGGTGCACGCAGTGTGAGACTCATAGGTGCCTGACGGAGGGGGGGGGGACTCACCCATGCGCCTTACGGCACGATCACCGCGGCGGCAGGGCGCGAAAGGCGATGGCCTGCGCCCCCACCACTGTGCTCCGATCAGTAACCGCTTTTATGTGGAAGGAAAAACGAGAGTGGAGAGGATTGAACAAATGGTGGATGGTTATAGGAGAGTTAACGGTAGTGGTGAGAGAATACAGAAAAGTCGAGTATCAGGCGTATACTTCAGTCAACGGCGAACTGGCGAAATAATTCCTTTCGATTGTAAAAACGACGCAAGCAGCTCCTACGCAAAAATTATAAGGTCACAAAATCGAAAAGAACTATTTCGTCAGTTTCGCCGTTGACTGGAGTAATACGCTCTGATACTCTGCTTTTCTGTGTTCTCTCACCACTACAACTGAATCACCTATAAGCATCCACCATCTGTTCAATCTTCTTTTTCTCTCCTTTTCCCCTCGTTTTCCTCCCACAAAGAGAGAGATTAGCTGATTGGACCACAGTGGCGGAGGCGCAGGTCATTCATTGCCCTTCCCTCCGCCTTGCCGCCGCGGTGACCGTGCCGCAATGCGCATGAGTTTTTCCACGGATCGAAGATGATTGATTGAGAATGTCCTGAAAGCGTGAGACGGGAAACGCGCATTTTTGAGAAGCACAGGATTTTCCTCATCAAATCACCATCAAAAATATCTCATGACATCTCAAGACTGTAATGTTGCACTCATGAGAGAGTGTGGATTATCTCCTTTCTAGCTTGCTCCTTATTCCGTCAAAGGTCATGTACGAAGAAAGCTATGGGGATTGGAAGAATTAAAACTTGCTCACGGATTTCTAAATCTCCATCAAATCTCCGTCAGAGATATACCCATTTACCTGAAGTTTATTTAAAACTCTGTCTCTGGCTCTGTGGAAAAACTCTGTGGAAAAACTCTGACTCTGTGGAAAAACTCACCCATGCGCGTTGCATAGCAAATTTTTTACATCACCGCGGCGGCAGGGCAAAGCGGAACGCGGTGGCCCGCGCCCCACCACTGTGCTCCAATCAGCAGCCGCTTTTATGTGGAAGGAAAAAGAGGAAAATAGAGAGAGAAAGATGATTGAACAGATAGTGGATGCTTACAGGTGAGTTAGTGGTAGTGGTGAGAGAATACAGAAAAGTCGACTATCAGGGCGAATTACTTCAGCAAATGGCAAAACTGGCGAAATAGTTCCCTTCGATTGTGAAAACGACGCAAACAGCTCTTACGCAAACGTTTAAGGTGAGGTTTGGCAAATTGCCAACAGTTGGATGTGACCTTACGGGTTAACGGTAATCGAAGGGAACTATTTCGCCGTTTCGCCATTTACTGAAATAATTCGTGATAGTCGACTTTTCTATATTCTCTCATCACTATCGCTAACTCACCTATATCCTCTATTCTCTCTTTTCCCTTCCACATTAAAGCGGCTGCTGATCGGGGCACAGTGGTGGAGGCGCCGTCCATCGCCCTTCGCTCCGCCCTGCCGCCCAGGGCACATCATTGGTTGGGGATTTTGGTCGAGTCTGTACGCCCCCCATCCTAAAATGCGGATCGATACGACCCCCTTCTAAGGTTCGTTGTTTTTTTGCCTTTTTATTTGCGTTTTCTTCCAACACCTACGTGGAAGAAAACAAGTGCCAAGCTAAAAATTCTCCCTGGCTTCTGAGCACCTTCCAGCACTGAACATCACTCGGCCCAAGAATTTCTGTACTAGTTAATTTCCAAACATTCTGTAGGTACACAAAACAGGATCCTAGTACAGGAATTCAGTTTAGATGAACTCCGATGTTCTAATACATGTGTTACTTCAATTAACAGACCATAAGGCCCGACTTCAAACAGGTGGAAATTCAAAAATTATAACGATTTTTCACTATTTTCTACCACTGCGTGTTAAGTGAGCGAGTTAGGGATCCTCACCCTCTTCGAAAACTCCTGGTAAAGAGAATCGCTCTGTTGATCTACACCGCACAGGATGCTGTGCTCCAACCTACAGACTGTTGTGTTCAAATTCGCGCGCGGGAAGAACTGGCAGCCATGCCATTTGAATAACTGCCATTTGAATGTGCACTCGTTCTATTGATTGCGTTGGGGCGCGTTTTTTAGACCCCTTAGGAAGGGGTATGTTTACAAAGTTCAGATGATTCTTCAAGATATGGTCGAGCAAGATGCGCGCCGAGAGATCACGGTGGTATTAGCAGTGGTACTAAAGCGAGGAGTTCACAGAAGCTTGTGCTGAAACAGAAGTCGTACGGGCTCCTCTTTCGGAGTTAACTTTCACTGTGGCAACCATCTCCCCATCGCCAAAAAAGTGCGGCGAAAAATCGATTTTGTCGACGGTGTCAAAGTAAACGGAGTGAGTCCACAGTGTTTTCTACCTTTGGCTGCTTACTGCCTGAACCGATCACTAGCCGATCACGTTTGGTAGAGGAAAGCAGTCGGAGGCAATTTCATTTCTGCCCTAATGACCCCACCCCGAACGATTGCGACGGGATCTGCAGCATCCTGGTCAAGGAGATGAGAGAAAACGGTGCACGTGAGCAACATAGAGCTGCAACTATGTGGAAAATCAACGGATTTCCCATTTCAATTCAACTTCCTGTTGCCATTTTTAGTCTCGGCTACTGAACGCTAGGCTCTCAAACATGGTTTCGTTAAAGGCACGTTCCGCGATAAACTAAGGCTAGGTTCTCATAACCGTGCACGATGGTCAAGCAGGCAACGTCAGAGGCTATGCCGCTTTTAAAAGTTGAAAAACAGCAAGCAAAACGCAGCGCGCTCAGGTTTTAGGCCCATTGGCGCCCGATAGGCCCATGCCGGCCTCCAGTGACCGTGTCGTTGTGAGACTGCCATTGCGCTCTCTCGCCCGTCGTTTTCTGGCCTCTCTCGTCTCTTATCAGTGTATCGCCGCCTTTTGCAATCCACAATTGATCTTGACCACCTTACGCTCGTCCGGTGATCATGATCAATTGCAATAAAGAGGGTCTTATTCCGGGCGCTTTTTCGTGTTCCTCTTCTTCAATAAGTCAACAAACACACGGCAATTCTATTTTTGAACTGTATTACCTATAAACTGTGGTCGCGGGAATTGCCTTCAATCCACCATCAAACAACAGTCTTTCGATTGTAAGGAAGGCTGCGCTTTCCGAAGGACTACCATATGTTGTGAACTATGTGATTTTAGTTCTCCTGGTTCTTGTTTGGAAGATTTCCGAGCGACACCATTCATCGAGTGCAATGGCGCGCGAGGCACGTGTCATTATTTCGCCAACAAATTCTCCTTCTGGCTTGCAACAATTGATAATGATCAGGAGTTCAAGGTTGGTTCGAACTTGAGAACACGAAGTAAATACATCCAACAATTACTCTCCTAGACAGTAACTGCTCTTTTCAGACACCTGAGAGCCAGACACTTAAGTCGGGAAGTTTACGCACGCGTGTTTCACGATGTCAAGTATGCATTAAGTCAACAGAAGGTCGTACTTGATTCATCGCTTGCAGTCCTGAATCTCAGAACAACTTTGAGCAGATCCCATTTTGATGTGAACGTGATCAAAAGCGACTAAAATACTAGTAGCGTACACTGCTGACGTATAGCTCTCAATGTGAACTCAACAGCGAATTTTACTTCATCTCTGATTTACATGATTACATATATTTCTTGTGTTAATTTAACCATATACAATATTAATCATATTTGTTTTATAAGTGTTCGCATTGTGATCAGTCTGTCTTCCACAAGAACTGCCTTTTACTCCTATTAAATAATCATGGTGTTCCACTGCGTTATTTAATAAGAATTAATAAAGATGAATCAGTAGCAGAAGCAAACGTCTCACAATTTCTGTAAACCTTGTCTGGGAAACTCAAAAAAAAGAGAAAGTTAGGTCATCGCAGAGTTCCGCGCATGAGGAATATTATGGTATAGGAGACAAGTGA